AAGTGGTAAGCCAATATGCCTAATTAAACTAATGTTGTTGATAATTTAAAATATGTTCTACTTAAATTTACTTTTGAGAAACACTTGAGCCTTCTGTATTGATCGGTAGTCTCATAACAGTCGTGAGTTAATAAAAGATTACCTAAAGTGCCAATTACAGACATTGGAATTTGAGCAATGCAATTTGTAGAGGTAATTAATCATTGTTTTGTTAATTTACATTGCAACTCAGGAAGATAATTGAGCATGCTGACATTTTTCAGCAATTGATTCTTCAACTGACTTGCTAGACTCCCAATAGGAATGAATTACAAATAAAGTGGGAAGCAATAACTGATTAAGTACTAATCCTTATTATTTCATCTTGAAAAATATTGATGACAGAGGAATTGTTTGAAGTTAGTATCAACTTGATGTATGAAGCTCTATCAGGAAGTCTAAGAAAAAGTATTTATTTCAGTTGAAAACTACAGCCTTCACTTTGGATCTAATACATTTATAAGAGTATAAAGATGACCAGCCAGACATGAAAACTATTTTCTCTCCCTTTTGCTTCACACTTAAAAAAAAATTCCCCTGCAATTATTAATATTGGATTTCATTCCATTAATTAACTTTTGAATTATTTTACTTTTTAGTATTGTACATGTGACACCACTTTTTTCCGTGTTGAAACATCAGAAATAACACTGCTGCCTTTGATTCATAATGAATACATTGCTGTAAAAGTGGTCTCAAACAGCAGTGGAGATACAACTAAGCTTCTTAGATAGTCATAAAACATCATGTCTTTTAAATACATCACTGGTAAGCAAAAGAATGGGATAGAGGAAGTCTGCTACTATTTTGCTTAACACTATCAGCTTGATATGGAAGTCTGCTTAGATGCAACATAGAATCTGGAGCTGTGCTTTTATTGGTTATAAAGAGGCTCAACAACATCTCTGCATTGCCACTCTTATTTGTAGTCACGTTCTGTGTAACCTCTGTTGCATAGAAAATATAATACTGTCCTAAAGTAACTTTGGTTCTTTGAGACAGTGTGAATTGTATGACTCATCTTCTCTCTCTTCTAACCCAAAATTAATCTTGTGAGGCACTGAAGAAGGAATTTATTGGTCCTGCTTTCCATGCCTCCAGAGGGGACTCTGAAGGTCTGATAAATACATAGTCATAATACAGAAATTCCTGAAACAACCCCTGACTCAAATTTATGCAAGGCAATCTTGTATGCTGTCCACCTTTCCATTTTTGACATGCTAGAATAGACCTACACTGACTACAACTCAAATAATGATAGTGAATGTTAGGTAAGTAACTAATCATCTTTGATACTGGAACTTACTATGTTAAATAGTTGTAAACGTTATCATAGAATGATTCTCTGATCATACTGTCATTTAAAAGTTTAAAAATAAAAAGTTATACTGTATACAGTATACCCTAAATCCTATGGAAATATTGAAAGATAATCAAATAATGTATTTTCTTTTAAAGAGAAGAGACACCTTCCCACCCACCCACACAAAAAAGATGCTAGTAACATGGTCATATGTATCAGGATATCAGAAATTGTCAAATACTACAATGGCAGAAATTACCATAAGCAGTGGAGGGAGTAATAATTCCTCCTCTGCAAAGGCTCTTACTTGCACAATTCCTCAGGAATCCATACAATGGCATCATCTCTTCCATGTCTTTGTAAAAACATTGGGAGATAAAGATGCCATAATCTTGACCACATCAGCAGCATGCTGATAGCACACACAACTCCATTTCCAGCAGCAACATATCAGCAACATATCTGTTCATGTGGTAGTACACCTGTAAGAAATAGACTCCTGTCATTGAAAAACAAGTTCTCACCTGAGTAATGCTACTAGAAATGAGAAAGAGCTGACCAAGTGTTTCTGGCCAGGTTCCACTGAATGTATACACTCCTTCACCCATCGATTTTCCCTGGGATTGAGGTAGCTTGGGTGACTACATAGTAACAGTTTAACAGATGCATTTTCACCTTCAGTCTGTTGGGAGAACTCGTATTTTTCTCCCAGAAGAACATTTGGCTGCTATAATTGACATACATCCTGCTATGATATAACTCATCCTACCAGAAGCTTCATTTAAAAAAAACTAGACAAAAAGTGTAACTAATGAGTTGTTGTCCTATTCCTTCTCTTTAATATTCAGACTCATTCTGTTCTTTTCACTGCCAGTTGTCATCTTGGTCCCAATTTTTGGAACAGAAAATAGCTTAGGTTCCAGATATATCAGAAACTGAATTTTAATTTGCAGGTCTACAATAGCTGGATTTCTTGGTGTCAGTGCAAAATAGGAAAACCAGGCCAAATTATGTGACAATTGGCTTGATGTGCTTTTTCTAAAGAGGGCCCAGGCTATGCATGATCTGTCAGAGCCTAACAGATGACTCCAGAAGTGACCCAGAATTTAAAAGCTTGTAAAGTCCTCCTGTGAGAGTATTTTTGCTTTAACTGGAATTCACAGTTCCCATTAATACAATTCCTGTATTATCAAATCCTCTGCTGCTCCCACGCAGAGATCTCTTTTCAGTACTGGAAGTATCAGAAACTTCTGCATGAAGGCACTCTAATACTACAGTGACTGGTGACCATAGTAAAACTGGAAATATTTGTAAATGCTGAACTTCAGCACGTGCCTGAAGTTATTTGTGTTTGGCAGACTTCAAAGGTGCGAGTGAAGTCCAATGACCAGGATTTTAAAACAGTCCAGTGCAGGTAAGCTTGTTTCTTAATTGCTAATACATTTTCATTGTAACAACTTCCTAGGTGTATTTGGGATTTCCAGTAAGCCTTATGAAAAGTATGTATGGAATGGCAAGCTCCTGGAGGCAGTAAAAAATACTGTTCATCGTGACTGGCTGCTGTATATTATTCATGGATTCTGTGGGCAATCAAGTATCCTTTTGCTGTTGTAAAGAATGTTGGTTTATCAACTTTTTAAAAGTTCAAAGGTGTGAAATACATTCAATTATTTCTTTGTCATGTAAATACTTTTCAATCTTAGAATTATTTGTTGGCTTTTATTTTCATTACTCTTCTAGGTTTTATGGATAATTATTACGTTCTTATTATAGGGTCCTGACACAGGCAGACTCAGACATTCTCAGTGAGGGGAACTGTTTGTAAGCATGGAGTTTAGTAATAAGAACTTGAGAGGCTTTTAAGGCTCAGATGTATTTTTCACTGACATTTGAGGAAGGGAAGAGAAGCTAAACAGAACTGAATTGCTGATGTAGAAATGTTCTCTTACTAATCTCCTTTAAAACACTGAGTAACTGAGACTTGCAGAAATTCTGTTTCTGGTGAAGATGATGATAGAACTTCATGCCTGCTATGTGAAGAGAGTTCAGTAAACGCTAGAACATCTGAAAATCTTTTTTAATTACTATATATTATTTAAAATGGGTAAATGGATCTAGTAGGAGAAAAAACCCAAATGTGTATCACACTCCAAAGAAACTTACAGAGACACTATATTTTAATCATCTACAATATCATGTTCAACAGCCTGTCAACAAAATATCTGGGGAAGCAAATAAAATTATGAAGTTAAGGTTAGTGGTGTTTTTGCAAAATTTAATTTTGTTTTTTCATGATTGTAAGGCTTGGTCATTGGCTTGGTCCCCAGACAGAAAACTGGATCTGTTTTTATATACTTCCATTTCATCTGGGGTCTTACTTAATCAAAGTGGTAGCTGTGGATCTGACCACCAGCGTTATGCCTGCAGCTGCTTTGTGAGTGACAATAGTCTTCGCTCTAAGTATTTTGATGAACAAATGTCTTCTTCCCTCTTTTTCGTGCCATCCTTCTGCTAAGGAAGCAGTGATAGTCACACTAGACATCTGATTCTGTCCTTTTTTTTTATTATTATTAAAAAAAAAAAAAAGCCTAAAAGAAAACTACGACTGCATCCATAGCTGTTTGCCTACTTTTCTTCTACTTTTTAGTAGAAGAAATTTATCTACTTTTCCAGACAAATAGAGGGTGACCAGTATACCTGATATGAAAACAGGAGCTCCCAGACTTTAATCCCAGTATTCACAAAAGCAGTGTGAATCTGGTGGCTATTTCACCTCCCCTGTCACTTCATAAAATAGAGATATTTGTCTTCCATATGTTGTGAAAAATGATTGATGTATTGTAATTTAGATTCCCTGTTCAACTTTCTTCAAAACTGTTGTTGAAAAGGGCAATGCTCTCTCCCAGCTGCAAAAGAAATTTGGAAGTGGTACTCATATCTGTTAAGGAGATTTTAGTAAGTCTGATTCTGTACTTTCATACACCTTTTTTAGAATTTGTTTTTTGTTGCATGAAGTGAATGAAAAATTGCACATGACATGTAAACCTTGACTTCTCTTTCAAGAACTATTAATATACGGTCGCCCTATATACGTCACTCTGATAGCCAGAAGATCAAGCAAATTTGCTGGAACACGTTTTCTGAAACGAGGAGCAAACTGTGAGGTAAACTAAATGTGATTTTAGGGGTTCCTCTCTGCCCCAACAACGATATGAAAGCTTGAGCTTGACTGACTGGTGAACTGAAATGTTTTAGAGGATTGTTAGGGCTTTGGTTGTAAATTATGCTATTAGGTAGTGTTATCACAGCTATCACTACCTTTTTAGTTCAGGTAATAAGGCTGTTCTTAAAATAATAAGTCTTAACCGACATTTCTTCTTTTTTTTTTTTTTTACGTTTAAAGATAATGTTATTTTCCAAGTAGTGAAAAAAGTAAATAAATCTGATGATATATGTTTAGAGACAGATGATATTTTAACCTACAGTGGTGTTCTCACTGCTATGATTTTTGTATTTTACAGTTTAATTGTTCTCTGTAATGATCAGTTCTCTGTAACACCTGCAGCTCTGAAGTGTCATGTCTACATCATATGTGTGTTCCTGTTTGTTTCAGGGAGATGTTGCTAATGAAGTGGAAACTGAACAAATACTTTATGATGCTTCAGTTATGTCATTTTCTGCAGGAAGTTATTCTTCCTATGTTCAGGTTCGAGGATCTGTCCCCCTGTACTGGTCTCAAGATATTTCAACTATGATGCCTAAGCCACCCATAACGTGTATGTACAAATTATTCTTTGTGGCAGTTTATGGTTAGCACTGTGTCCTAAAAGAACACCTGAGAGCGTAAGTGAAAAACTAGATTTGCAAAAATTTTCAATTTTTCTATGCATTTGTTCTTTGGGAACCTATAATTTCAGGTAAATTAATATCTTCATAATAAATGTCATGGCAAACAAACATTCAACCATATAAAAAGCTGCATTTGATGAAATTAAATAGAAAAAAATCACCATCTCAGACTTCACATTCAGCAGTGGAATACAAAAAAATTCCGTTTGAGGGTGTCCACTTTCTTTGTGTGAGGCCTGGTGAGGCCACATCTGGAATATTGTGCCCAGTTCTGGGCCCCACAGTTCAAGGAGGACAGGGAACTGCTTGAGAGAGTCCAATGCTGAGCCACCAAGATGATTAAGGGAGTGGAGCATCTCCCTTATGAGGAAAGGCTGAGGGAGCTGGGGCTCTTTAGTATGGAGAAGAGGAGACTGAGGGGTGACCTCATTAATGTTTATAAATATGTTAAGGGCAAATGTCATGAGGATGGAGCCAGGCTCTTCTCAGTGATGCCCAATGACAGGACAAGGGGCAATGGGTGTAAGCTGGAACACAGGAGGTTCTGCTTAAACTTGAGAAGAAACTTCTTTACAGTGAGTGTGAAGGAGCACTGGAACAGCCTGCCCAGGGAGGTTGTGGAGGCTCCTTCTCTGGAGACATTCAAGACCCGCCTGGGCGCCTTCCTGTGTGATCTCATTTAGGTTCCTGCTTTGGCAGGGGGATTGGACTGGATGATCTTTCGAGGTCCCTTCCAAACCCTGACATTCTGTGATTTGTGCTTATTATTTTGTATACAAAGTTAGCTACTTTGTACTACTAATCTTAATATTGTGGATACAGTTTTGAACCTGTTGAAAATGGTGGAAAACATCTGAGCTAAGTTTAATGGGGTCAGCATAATTGCACTTTGTAAGCCTCTCATGAAAGTTTTGGTTAAGAAGTCGCTTCCAATTTGCAAAAGGGAAGATTTATTTTTAACAGCCTTTGCATGAAAAGAGGGGAGAGTATGTTACTGTATCGTTACTATTAGAGAATTAGTATGTATTTTGTGACAAATAGTTCTAAGGGAAAATTGTTTAAGTTCACTTAATATAGTCCTGAATATATGTATTTGTTGCAGTGGACCAAGCAGATCCTTTTGCACATGTTGCTGCTCTTCACTTTGACCAAATGCTTCAGAGATTTGGCTCTCCCATTATTATTTTGAATCTTGTGAAGGTACAATATTTTTAATATGTTCTGTATGTTTTCTAATTTTTAATATGATGCTTATTTCTGTACAGTTTCTGTGTAATTTTACTTGTGTTCTAAACTCATGCTAGCTTATAAATGACATATTTTCTTCATAAATCTCATCCTACATGGGATAGTACATAGCTCTAACTGCTTCCACTACAGCCCTTCAAAAAAAAGGAGTTTCCCACGTTGATAGACTTCTTCTAATATCCTTTCACTGTTGTTTTCAAGTTTTTGCTATTACTTCTTAGATGTGAGTAAGTCCAAATAAATATGCTACTAAACTTAATTTAGCACCAAAAAAATGATAAAACAGTAATGTTCCATGCAAAGTGAGCTTTGTAGGCTTCTTGACACAGGAAACGGATTTATTTGAAATATTACGGTAAAGACTTATCTTCTGTTGTTTGTTCGGTCTGGTAGAGTCATCAAAGTACGAGTAGGAGAGAAAACTGAAGCATCTGATGCCAACTAATGGGCAGTGGCAGTAGGGCTGGACTAACAGGAAGAGTTTAATGATTGCTACACTAATTCAGTTCATTGCTGTGTGAGGGGCTGTGGTACAAAGCCTGGATTCTGGGTGGCACTAATTTTGTTTATTACATCTTGTATTGCTGTTGGGGTTTGTTTTATTTTGTTGTTTTCTGTTCTGATCCAGCCATTTTCTGTGATGGTGTCTGTTTCGACATTTGAGTTTAATTTGTTGGTTTGTTTTGCTTGAATCATATCTTATTTCTTTTTAATCTTGAAAAAAATTATTTAATTTATCATGTTGTAGAACCGTATTCAGTAGGAAAAAAGGATCTTTTATGTGCATGTAGGATCTGTTCCTAGTATAAAAAAAATAGGAAAAATACAAAAGGAAGGCTTTTAAAACTCTTAAGTTGTTATAAATGGCAACTAGATAACCTATTTCTAGAAACTTACCTGTGGTAGGAGTGCTTTTAAGACTCTCCAAGAGTCTGTGGAATCAACTTAGGATACCATTTGTTGACAAGAAAATTATTTTATCTCTTGCAGCCATAGCTTTCAAAAGACACATGAATCATTACATACTTAGATTCACAGGGCTTTTGATATGGTAGCTGAAAATTTGTCTCTTTATTTCCTTCTCTGTAGATGCTCAATATTCAGATGCTAAAATTCATGTTCCTTTGTTACTTTAGGTACTCCTTGGGGGGCAGGGTGGGAAACGTGGGGGGAAAGCCCCCAAACCTCAGCACCTTTTTTTGGATGTTGCTGTTGCTTTTACACAAATGCTAAATGTTTCTATCTCCAGTACTTTTATTATTTGATTTCTTAAATGTCAGTGAAGCATAAATCTATGTCCTCCTGTATCTGTCTATCCTAGAAACTTAGAATCATAGAATAGTTTGGGTTGGAAGGGACCTTTAAAGGTCATCTCATCCAACCCTCAACTTGTTAACTAGTAATGAATGTATTAGGCTTCCTTTGGCATTTTTTTTGACTGCTATTATATATTTAAAGCAGTTTCTATAACTTAAGTTCAGTATAGGTTTTAGTTTCGATGAAGTTGAGCAGAAAGCTGTACTAATATATAGAGTACCAAAACATGGTATATTCAGAGAATGGCAAGATAATTCTAATTTTTTTAAATTATTGAAAGGTAGATGGGAGCTGTTGTTCCCCATCTCCTGTCATTAATGGAGAAGAATTTGCCTGGGTCCTCTTGTATCCCAGAACTGAATGGGATACTTTCCTTTCTGTCTGTCTTTTCCTTCTCTCTTGTCTTTGTCCATTTCTTCTGTCTTATCACTTTTGTTTCCTTGTGCTCTTCTTTGCTCTTATTGGGTTCTGTTTTTCAGCCAGTGATTATGCACAGTTGAGATGGGTGACTTTTACTACTGATACAGATAAATTGTCAAACACCCAGAATATTTGGATTTTTCTGTCTCTTCTATTCTTAATTTAATTGTACTAGCTATAAAGAACTGCCTGCTGGTGTTACAGCTTCCACTTTTTGTTTCTGTTACACATACACATATGTGCATGTATACAGGTTACGTACATTTATTAATGAAAATTGTAATAATAACTTCACTTTTTTCTTGCTAAAGGAACGTGAAAAAAGAAAGCATGAAAGGATTCTTAGTGAAGAGCTTGTTGCTGCTGTGACATATCTCAACCAGTTCTTACCCCCAGAGCATGCAATTATATATATACCCTGGGATATGGCCAAATACACTAAAAGGTAGAAAAGATCCTTCTTTGTACTAGTGCTCTTGGCCACAATACAAATAGCTGCATGCTACTATCGCTCTTTTCAGTGGAATGTAGATTAAGAATGATGGGAGAATTTTATTAAGATCTAAGGATAGAATAAAACCTCAGCTTTATGGAGGATTTTTTATGTTTTCTATGGTTTCTTACCAAAGTGGAGCAAGGCCTGGAAACTTTGAAATTCTCTGCAAAGGAAAATTTTAGAGAAAAGCCATAAAAAACCAATCAACATTAACTTTTTATTCTGAAGTAGTCAAAACACTGCATTTTGTCAGGTGTTCCATTTCAGTCATTGAATTTATTGAGTTACAAGATATTGGAAAACAAGGGGTTTCTTATCAATCAGTCTCTTCCATTTCCTCTTCCAAAAGGAAATGAGGACATTAATTTCAATGTTTTAAAGCACTTAGATTATTAGGAGTATATATCTTAGAAAGGCAAATATATTCTTTGAATATTCTATATTCTTTTTTGGACAATAGAATGCTGTACTGGTATCATGTGAAAAGGGTCAACGTTTTCCTAAATGTAGAAATGTTTACAAGACACAAACATTTTAAATCTGCAATTATAGTTTGCTATTCTTAAGTAAAACACAACTCAGTTGTAAAGTTCTCTGACCTGCATATGTCTACTGTATCTTACAATGCCAAAAATTCTAGAAGAATGATAGGAGGAGTTGGATCAACTTTCAGGTATCTGTTACTGTATCAGTAACAATGGAAAAACTCATGTGGTTCAAAGGGCAGGAATACAGTTAATGTTTGTCAATAAAATCTTATTAAAAAAGTTTTGGAAAACAATCCTTTTTCGCTGTTTGACATTACAGGTTGGTTGATATAGTTGGTCATGTGGAAGTGAAACTCTTACTTTAAAATCTGATGTGGTTTCACGCTACATTTTTATTCTAAAATGGCATTGTGTACAGTTAGGTGTATATGCAATTGTTTGTGTTATCATTAAATAGCAAATCTCAAAATAAGACTAGATGCAAGTTCTTGGGTTTCCTATGGAGTGATGCTGATGAAGATTAGTGGTCTCCCTATATGGGAAATGGTACTAGGTGATTGAAGGATTCCCCTTCTAGCTTTAAGCTTGAGGTATATTTATAATACATATCCACTCTAGTACAGATATAAAAAACACCTGAGGATTTTGAACAAGATTATGTATTTATGGAAGCAAGAGATATTTAGGAATGGAAGATAATGTATACTTCTGCCTAAAGAATTTACAATTTCAGGAATACCGAGAACACGTTTGCTTTAATGTGTAGTTTTGAATTAAGTTTGTTGGAAAGTAGTACCAGTGGAAATGTTCCAAAATATTGGTTCCATCTCGATATAAGCAATCTTTAAAAAATAAATAATTGGTTTTGTTACTTGAAATGTAAACACTGTAATAAAAACTTTGAAAATAAGATTATGAGTAAACAGAAGTCAAAGTCCCCAGCAATGGATGGATGGATGCTCTGATCTGAGCAGGAGGCGCAGGACATTGTGAAGGCCACACACAGAAACAGAAAAAAACCAGCACCTTGCAAACAAAATGAGGGAATATGATTTAGCATAATCATATATCCTTTTCTGCCTCATTCTTATTTGGTGAATCATAGAAAGTTTGGGAGAGGAAAATTAGTATCATATAAAAAATTAGAAGTTTTAGATTTTTCAAGTCTTCCACTTCTAGTTTATGCAAAATGATTTATTAATAAATAAACAGAATTGCTCAGGTACCATTAGTGTCTGTTTCCTAAGTCTGTAAAATCTAAGAAAACTATAGACATAATTATTGTTGGATAAATAAAGTTATGATGTGAGTCTGTCTTTAAATAAATTTTGTTAGTAAAAGTCTTTCCAAACAGTGAAAAATTTTTTAGTATTAATGTATCTTGACTGTGGTTTTTTTTTTTTTCCCCTCTCCTCAGCAAACTTTGCAATGTCCTTGATAGACTGAATGTGATTGCAGAAAGTGTAGTAAAGAAGACTGGATTTTTTGTAAATCGACCTGATTCCTACTGTAGTATCTTGCGGCCAGATGAAAAGTACGTATAATGTAATTGATGCATAATGAATACCATCTGTTCCTTGGAGAGTTCTCTACAATTTCTCTGTCTATTGCATTATTTCTTATTTTAAGGCTTAAATTAATATGAAAAAATATACTTAGTTATGAAGTTACAGCTAAAAGGACTGTAGTCAGGGGCACATGCTAAGAAATACTAATACACTGGAAAATCTATAGAGAGTACAGTTATGCTGCGGCTGTTTTACTTATAACAAATTCTCATTTCAAACCATTATTTGTAACTTGTAATCTATGCCATGTGTGTTTATATAGTTTTGGGGTTTTTTTTTCACTCTAACCCAAGGATTCCTAAATTTGAGGGTAAATTTAGCAAAGCAGTGACCATTTGGAAATTAACAGGTGGCTTCTTTTGAGGCATATTAATAAGATAAGTATAATCTAAAAGTTGCTGAGTCTGGTGTTTTCCAATGGATTTTATGGTATTCATACATACAAAATTTAAAACTTTTTTTACTAGAAACTGTATTTGCTTAGACTGCTGTACAAGTACAGTGATTTAATCGGCTGAATTCTCTCAAGTCCTAAAAATATAGAAGAAAAATAACTTCCACATTAAAAGTTCAATAAGTTTTTGATTCAAGTTTTCATATTAGGGACCTAATTCATCACTGCCCAAATGGGTGTTCATGTTTTACATTAAGAGCATCCTTACCTTTTAGCTTATCTTCACTTAGAAATAGTCTGAGCTAAAGCTCTCATAGGCTCTCTTAGAGCTTTTCTCTGCCATGCAGTGCAGTAAATGTGGTGACTGCAAGGCAGCATGAACAAGATCAGTGCCTCCATGTAATGCTGTGTTCTGCAGAAGTAGTTTGGTGGATCTTAAGCGTGGTATATAGGCTTGCCATAGCAGTGCTGCGGTCAGGCTAGGTAACCCTGCTACCCTGAAAATACTCAGAAGTTCAGGGTTTACTTGCACCAAGCATAACTGTTCTTCTACCTCAAAATGTTATTAATTTCTGATTCATGTTCTCTGGCTCTGGGGTACAGCTAAGACCTGTACAGAACTGCAAGGCATGGACAATATGTATGTATGTGTTCAGCATGTGTGCCTAGAACTGGTATGAGGGTGAGATTTACATCAACCAGCTTGTGCTACAGTGTATGTTTTGCCTCTACCTTCCAGTCATTGGCATTGTACCTGCTGTCATTTTTGCGTACTCAAGACCCGATCTAGCAATGCTTGTGTTGCTGTTTTATGTGGAGCAAAGGAAAGATTTTGTGTGCCTTTGGAATATTTCTATTTTCAGGCTAGATTTTTTTCACGATGCAGTTTAAATACAAAGATCTTACTATTGCATGGAGCTTTCACTGCTTTCCACTATTCAGGGGTATTCAATTTGCTCTGTGGTAGGTTTTTAATTGTCACCCTTTTTCACTGATCAGATCAATACATGGTATGATCTGATTTTTTTTTTTTAATGATTTGTAAGTAATTCTGTTTTGTTTCCCTCTCAGGTGGAATGAACTAGGAGGTTATGTTGCTTCCACTGGTCGCTTGCAGGTACTAAAATATACTTTATTAATTCATAGTTACAGTGATGCAGATCAGCACTTCCAAAGCACCAGTGAACCATTTCACTTAAATAGCCAGCTGGTGATTCACAGATTGTTCTTAAATTAATATTTATAGTAAACAGCATTATTGCAATCCATCCCAGAAACCCAATTGGGAAATAGAGCTTAAAGTTCTTGGGTGGTGACACAAAACTTTATGCTGTTGGAACTGTATTTTTGCTGGAGGCAGTCTGAGAAATGCTCATATTTTAAACTAGTTTCCATTAGTACTTCGTTTGTAGTAGTAGTAGTACAACTATTAGCAGCAGCATTTTAACGAACAGCATAATACAGTGTTAGATAGAAGTGAGGAATAAACATACTTAGGTCTGATGACATATTCATACACATGAAAATGGCTTATTACAAGCATTTTCAGCACTGCAGAGTATTCTATACATTGTTGTAATTTCCATCACTAAAAGAAAATACAACCAGAAAGACTGCTTTCTTTAAGGTCAGAAAAGTGCTGACTGAACTGTGGAGTAACAGATTTGTACCTGAATGTTATGATTGTATACTCTGAACACAGGATGTGTTCTTAAGAAGCATTAGTTGCTTTTGACTTACCTCATAATTTTGTGGTTCATGTAAGTTGGAAAGCATATGACCATTGTTTTACTAGCTGATCACTGGGATATGTTTCTTGAGGGCAGATAAATGGCAAAGTAGATAGAATTTGATCTATTTTAAAGTAAAACATATCAATGCTAGCTAGATTTTTTTTTTTTTTAATATTAGTCTTGCAGGTTTACCTGTATTGAGGGTATGATTATTTTATCTATCTTTCAATGTAATAGTTTGAGGTAGTCACCATAGGCATACTATGTAAGCAATTGGGTCACAGTTGATCTTGTTTTGGAATATACATCTTGTGAGTCGTATCCAAGAAGTACTGCTATATTAAGATAATAGTTTAGCTGGCTAGGTTGTATGTAGCCACATATATTTGAGCAGACGAATCCCCCATCCTGTTATATTAAAATATGATTCTTGCAGCTGTTTGTATTATAAAATAACTTTGTGTGCATTATGGAATTGAAAAATGGTGGTATAAGCAGCATAAAAGAATATGTGCGTGGCTGTGACCTTCAACAAAATGTTTGTGTAGGTTGCTCCAGATATGGAAAGCTTAAAATAAAAGCTCCATCACAATAGAACCAAAGCAAGCTGAAAGCATGCTTTATTTTTTGCAGTAGTTGCAGCATACTTAAAAATAAGGCCACCTTCACTGAAATAACACAGCCTTTCTTTTTACAGTAGATCTTTAGAGCTGTTTGTAAGTTGAAGGAGTGATGCAATTTGTGTGATGACAGAAACAAGAATATTTTGAAAGTAGGGCCTACAGCAGTTTAATGTAGCTTGCTAGAGAAAAATTGCTTTTTAATATTTTTTAAAAAATATCTTTGCTTAAATTTTTGTGAACTGACATAAAATTCAGTATTTGAGATTTGACAAGTCTTGGAGAATAGGAAAAAGAAGTAATAATCATGAGTGCAGTAATTTGTTAATTAAGAAAAGTCTCTTATTTGGATTGCTTTGCCAGACTGGACTTCTGCGAACCAATTGTGTGGACTGTTTGGATCGCACTAACACAGCCCAATTCATGGTGGGAAAATGTGCTTTGGCATACCAACTCTATTCGTTGGGATTGATCGATAAACCTAATTTACAATTTGATACAGATGCTGTTAGGTAAGATATATTAATAAAGTGTGCCATGGTTTTATTTTTTTAATACTGTGTCGAGAGATTTAGGAAAAGTATACCTATATAGAAGGAGAGTGCAGTTCTTTCTTTTGGAATGATTTAACAGTGTTTATTCATGCAAGTTTTAAAAAAAACGTCCATAGTTGAAATTTTCTTGAGAAAATCTGGTCACACTGAAAATTTGCTTTTCTGGAAAAGTAGGTTAATCAGACTTCTTACAACAAAACTGCTTTACTTCATTCTCTTTACATGCCTAAACTTAAAGCAAAGAGTTTCTCTTTTAAATGAATGCAACAAAAACCTCACCCCAGTCTTTTACACTTACTTCACTTGCTTGAAACAAAATGTAAAAAAAAACCCAAGAAAAGAAACCTGAAATAAGTGCATGCTTTTATGGAGAATGCCAAACTGGTATTTGTATAGAAGTACATCTTACCTTGCTATTTCCTATTTTTCCTTTGGAAAAATTTTGTGCTTTTTGATTCATTGCAGAAAAGTTTTCAGCGAAGTTGTTCTCTCAGATCAAATATTAACAATGCTTATTCAAGCATCCTCAAACCACTTGAGAAAAGCCAGCATTTCAATTGAAATGCTCTGGTGGTCAGGGGGAACTAAGCTATTTGACTTCTGAATATGCTTCAGAAATTAATGTAAGAGTCTTTTAGTTGTTTTGGATTTATTCATTATACCTGCTGTGACTGTGAAACTTATGGCCTCATTGCTGGTTTTGACTAGTGGTTTGTTAGTTTTAGAACATGGAGATGTAACTTGTATTTCAAAAAAGACAAAGTTCTCAGTCTCCCCACCCCTTTACTCAAGACGTACCCTTCAGCTTTTCTCCTTCTCCCATTAGCTTTGAGCACTTCCCTGGTGCCAGGAGCAGGTACGTGCCACAGAATCTATCTCACCTGCCACATGTTGGCTCACTGTGCGAGGAGTGGCTCCTGGCCTCTGCCTGAGGCTGGCTTCCTCAGTGTGCTAGAAATACCTCTCATCCACCATGTCGCAGCTTCTGAGTGCTGCATGCTTATCTCTGGGAACAAGCAACTGCTGCTGCAAACGCCAGTTCCTGTGCAAACACCAGTTCCTGTGCAGCAGACTTGGAAATTGGGACTGTTGGGAATCTAACTAGAAGTCAAGACAAGTCTCTTATCTCCACTCTCTGTGGTGTCCTCTACAAGCTACCACTTATTTCAGCTCTTCAGCTGCATTTTACTATCTTCCCTTAAGCTTCACTACGTTTCCCCTTCCTCTTCCCTTCCCATATTTCCTCTGCTGCTTCATGCTGCAAGTATCCCATGTTTCCTGTCTATTTTCTTCTCTCCCTTTTGTTCCCTCTCTATGCCCCAACCACCCAAATTTCCATCTCTTACCATCATCTGTTAAGACTATAGTGCTTTGTCTCTGATTTTCCTGATACTTTATTTCTCATTATCTCTCTGAAATGCAGTTATTAGTCTGGCATAAAAGGTTACTTTTATCTGGCCACATTTTACTTGCTTTTTTCTTCTCTGTTGCACTAGATATATGCCTGTCTGAAACTGATTTTGTCATCTGTTAAGACTTGTTTCTGAATTACTAGGTTCAGAATAATTTAAAAAACCCTACTTCATGATACAACAAATTCTGAAGACTGGCATGTGCTGTACCATCTTTCCAGTGTTCAGTCCTTCACTTTGACCTCCTGCATACTTGTTCCTTGCAGTTGTCTCACATCGAGTGTCTGCTTCCTGCATACTCTTCTTCTTCATTACATTCTTCTAATTGGCCAAAAGGATAATCTGTAACAGTCTGTCCTCCTTAACTTAGCTGCTGTGTCTGAAATACTAACTTCTCTTCATCACGTTCTTTGACTTTCCTTCTTATACTTCTGATTTTTCTCATATGGTTTCACTGACTGGCTACAATCCAGAATTTCTATTGAACTAGGTTTCTGAAATAAGCATTTTTTTTTCAGTTGGCCATCCTGAAGGATGAAGAAACCATGCATCTTGAACAGTCCAGCTTTGAGTCTAGCAAGGTTAATCTTCTTAATGACTTTGTTGCACCTGACCATTTCTGCGAGCTATATTTCTTAGTGATTCCTTTACTGTAATTGTTGTCCTATCTAGGAAATTTCCTAGACAAGGTGTATATTACCAGCTTATTTTAGCCTATATATTTAACTGCTTTTCTCTCTAGAGAAGACTAGTCTTTATTTGAGTGCAGGCTTAATATTTTGAGGCTGTGGAAGGGTAACTTAATTCTACAAGTCCTTTCCAAATCAAGTGGATCAATATCCTTAATGAATTTAAAGTTGTCTGCTTTTTGTGAGTCTTTATCACAGGGTCATTGCAACTCTGTTCATTAATCCCCCGTGGCTGACTAGGAAATTTCTGAAATTTTCCTTTTACCTACCAGTTGTTGTCTTCAAACAGTTTTTTAACTTCTAGCTGACCAGGATTGCTCTCTTTCCCCTTGTTTTAAAAAAAACCCCAAACTAAAGCAAAACCAAAGCAACAAACAGAAGATTCTCGTATGTGGCATCATGAGCTCTTAGCAGTTTGTGTGGAGGAAAGTGGCTTTTGGGGTTTAACTTTGTTTGTGTTGTTGGGTTTTTTAAAGTTAATAAGCATCTGTTTCTTCCTGATGGAGCTTTTCATACTTGACTGCGGGCAGAAGATTTGCTGGACAGCCATTTTGTTTTCACAGAAATAGATTTGCTGCTCAGATAAGTGTTGTTTATCCAGAACCTTTTGAGGAGGACTTCTGTCAGACAGTTGCTGGATAACTTACACAGCACCGTCCCTTTATTGGAAACTTTCTTAAAAGAATGCTTTTGTTGTTAGGGGTTTTTTTAATGGTGGGTGTGGTATTGCTGTTGTTGTTTTGTTTGTTTCTACGCTCCTCTCGACTCCTTAAGGACTTTATTATCAGATATTATAGTGTATCACATGCAGATGCCTGAGTTACTGTGTCTTGGATGTGAAATACATTTCTGTAGGTTTATTGGTTGGATTGTTTTGGGGGTTTTTTTCAGTTGGTTGGTTTTGTTCTATTTTGTTTTTTTTACCTCAGCTACACTTTCAGCCTCTTTCAGCAAGACATCATCCTTGTCATTGTCTTGCTCAAGCAAGGCTATAGTCTCTGTTTCTGAGAAGCACTTTTCAATCTGTTATCTTTTAGACTGGATATCATCTCCTTAGGATAGCATTGTTTTCTGAAACTGTTGTCTTGGTTTTGTCATCGATGGGGTTATTTGGACTGCTGTCAGTTTGGAGTCTACTGTCAACTACTTGATGCTAGAGGACTGTATTGCTTTTAGACAGCTCTCCTTGTTCATCTTAGAAGCTGACTGCTTCTGCCTTCTTACATCATGTTTTTCCAGCCCCAGCAAATGGTATCTGACTGTCCTTCACATTTCTTACAAGTTGTGTACCTTTGACCATCATTATCATAACTAAGAAGATTTTTTGAAAGCTATATTAACCTAATTCCCAATGAACTTGACAGAAAATACAGCTTTGAGATATTGGCGTGTTCTGTCCCATTTACTGTGTTCAAAATACCTTTGTTTGTGAAGGCATACAGTTTATATTCTCCTTGTGGGCTAGTAGGACATGTTAATCTTCTCCCTGAATTTCCAAACGTGCATGTTCTGTAGCATAAATGCATTCTGATATATTATAAAATAGTGAAAATCTTAGTCTAATCCTTCTTAGTAATTATTATATATGAATAAAATTTCCACATATTCCTCCAACTAAAGAATAGAGAGGTACCTTTACATCTCAGTGTTTGTAAGTTAATAGCACATTTTAATGAAATACTTGGGTTTTTTTAATTGTCAGAAGTACTTATGAGAAGGAAACATATTGATTGTTAAACAGAAAGACTTTATTATAAAACTGTATTATTTTTTCTCTTAAAACCTCTTTTCAACAGTTTAATAGATGTCACGATTTGCTTTTCCTTCAGGTTATTTGAGGAATTATATGAAGATCATGGAGACACGCTTTCTCTGCAATATGGAGGTTCTCAGCTTGTCCACAGAGTAAAAACCTATAGAAAGATAGCTCCATGGACTCAACATTCCAAAGATATTATGCAAACACTCTCGAGATACTATAGTAATGCTTTCTCAGGTAAATTCGGTTTTAAGTGCTTTCTTTTAAGCCATTGTTTAAAAAACATCTTTCTTGTGATGTTTCATTAATCAGTACTATCATTTTATGACAGGTCCTTTATACTGTAATTTCCAAGTAATTCAGTAAAATCTGATGGATATCAAATGAGTATTCTCATTTGGTTAAGTCTTTGTATCATATCCTATGCAAATACATGTTGTATTGTGCAACCATATTTGATAAAAGATAAGTGAATTAATGTAAGAAATATTTAGGAAATGTACATGTGAAGCACTGAAACTACCAGTGACATTTGTAGATCAATAGGGAAGCAGGTAGGTGTTACAGGGCTGTTAAAATAATGGACAGAGGGGCTTCAACGAATATAAGGAAACTGGCAAATCTAAATCTAAACAAAAGTAGAAGGCTTCAAGCTGAGTATTTCTTGTCATGTTCCTGGGAACTTGAAACAAAAAGCAAGCTTTAATGCGTGTAATTTTCTTGCATGAATAGAAGCTACTAACTGTTGAATCTGTGGTAGAAAAGACAAAATTAAATTTAGAAAGCAAGGCACACCAAGTAAGTAAGCTATTCTTGAGATAAATAACTGGTAAAATATTAGCTTACTCCTTTACTAGCTTGTATCAGTCACTGATACTGTTCTACTTTATTCTAGATAACATTGCTAAGAAAAAACCTTCTTGAAAATGCTGAGCCATACCTTATGCGAAATAACTGAAAAAAAAACCGCTTAGTGTTTTAGAAGTCTTGAGAAATATCTGAAAAAATTATCAAAGGACAATCTAAGGCATGTCAGGATGATAAACATTGAAGCTATTGTGTTCTAAATATTGTGTCAGTCCTTTATTACTCTTTTTCACAACAGCTGCATAGCCAGGGAAGTAAGTTGCATTTTTTTTCTAGTAGACTGCAATTATTTAGAAACTATGTGAATTTGTAAACTAGCTAGCTGGACACTGGCTAGAAGTACTCCAGTAATCTCTGGTTTCTTTGGCTGAAGTTATTGCTTTTGTTAGTGACAATTTTGTGTCTGTAACAAAGTGTGAGAGCACAGCATTTAAATACTGTTTCTGAATGTAATTCATGTAATTTATATATCATATTTGCCCAAATTGAATGAGAAATGGAGGGCTTGTTTATTTCAGTGATACGGTCTCTTATTGTTTGCAGTGGCAGTAAGGTACAGCTTAATCAGTTCTTATGAGCAAAGGGAAGATGCTTGCAGTGTCACCTGTACTGATAAGTACAAGATGGAACAAATCTCTGAAGCTGTTCGCTTTTGTGCCAGATACTTAAATGGTTAGGTGGAAGCTTGAGGAAAGTCCTAGATCTACGTTTGGAGAAGTGGACTGTTTGTAAGGATAGTAAAGGTATGCATGTGTTTAGTAATAAAATAATTTGTTCTGGAGAAGATGTTATGAAAAGAAGAAAGAATACTGAATTTTAAAAGTCCATCTTGTTACCTGGACAAACTGGCAGCTGGATACACAAACAGATGTTAGTGTTTACTGAAATCAATAGGAAAAACTAAACTTTCATAAAGGTGCTGCACACTTTCCCCAATTTACTTATGATTTTGGTATTTGATCCCATTTGAGCCAAATATTTGGTGCTTTTGCATTCTGTGTGTTTGAAGATGGCATTGTTGAAATATAGTATTCAGTGTTGTATTTACTGCATTTTTACGATGAAACTTTAAAAGATTAATTTTGGTGAAATTTCAAGGTTCACTGTCCAACACTGCCTGTTCAGGTGGCATCTGCAAGCGTGCTAACATGGCACATTGAGAGAGATCATTTTATTCTTGAGGTTTTCTCAGAAAGCAGAGATAAAGCAGGGAACAAGATTACGATTTGCTATACTGCACTTACTATTGTTTCTATCTATCACATATCCTTTAAAATACAAATAAAAATCTGAGGGCTAGCCAGTTCATGAGCTGTCATTTCCTTGTGGTTTTGATCTGAGAAACTTTTTTTAATGTTTATGGATTTTATGTGCCGTTACTAAACAGACAGAGAAAATTTTAGTGATTTGCTTGAAGTCATACTCCATGTCAGATTCAGAACAAGATCAAAAGTGGCCTGCTAACAGTGCCTCCGAAATAAATCATTTAGCCACACTTGTTCTGTTTGTCTATCATAAAAAAAATACATGATTCTAAAAATAATTTACACTTTTAAGAAAATGGTTTCATCTGTTGACCTCAAAGCTCTTAGGATAATCACTACTAATTAAGTTACTAGAGAAAAAGTAAGACATGTATCAGTTAAATGACTTGCCTGGAGGTACTGATCCAGTAGATAAGACTGGACTTGTAAGAAAGATAACTTTGAGTGCAGTTTCATCCTAGTTCATAATATATGGCTTAGCTTTTTTATAGATTTTCTGTGCCTATAAATTTGTAATACATTGCCTATATAATAGAAGAGTGAAGAATTTAAAAAAAAAGTTTTCAGGATCAAGTTAGTGACTGAAGCTTAGAAAAAAACCAAGGTTTTGTCCTAAAAATATGGGACAAAATTTTATGGTAACTTGAAAAAATCTTCCAAGTTTAGACAAAAATTCTGACTTTTTTTCATGCATATTTTTAATTCTAGCATTTGAAAAAAATAGAGGGTGCAGTGTAGTTTGAGAAGTCAACTGTTTAAAGTACTCTGGTTATAAGCAAATGAGTTGTACCAGAAAAAATAATATCATCCAGCTAAGAATGAGTTGTTCCTTCAACACCCTCTCTGGCAGGCATTCCAATTAGTTGAATTCTAACATTTTTCTTTCATTTACAATTGTCAGAGAAATTAGGGAATAGTATTTCAAATAATATTCTTCTAGCTTTTATGCCTTTTAGGAAGTAATGTGACATTGCAGACTTCAGCACTAGAGTCGCAACATGCGTAATAAGCTTCTGGAATCTGGAGTAATCTGTTTATCCACAAGCAGGACTGGACATAGTAAGCTACCTTTTAGTGTTGCATGAAAAGAAACTTAATTGCTGTAACCTTTTAGTCATGGGATGTTATAGTCCCAATTGAGTTGAATCTCTCATGATTTAGTAATTTGTCATGTAGTGCAGTTGCAAACTCAGATTGAGAGCAGTAGATTATTTTTGGCTAATTCAATTAAATGGCCCCATGAGTTCCTGCTTTCTCAAATGGTCTTAAAAATGTGCTAGTATACACGTACATTGCAGTATCTTTTGAAAAATCAGTGCAGTCTTTCTACTTGCTTGTACATAATTATAACATTCACTGCTAACAGTGAGGACAGAAAACCTGTTTGCTCTTTTGTCTGTGCTCCACAGTGCATTTGACACATTCTTATTTATTTATTTTCGAAAAGAGAGAATTTTCTATCTAGATAAGAAAATTGATCTGAAAAGCTCAATATCCTGTTTTCTCTGGCCAGTGTTTCAAAGAAAGACAAAAGCTTTCATTTTATTTTATTTTTTTTTTTTTTTTCAAAATTAAGTCGTACAACTGTTCAACCCTTGAAGTAAGACAGGGGAGAGGATTGTCAGCTTTCAAGTTAACTACCTGCTTCCCCAGTCACTTGCATGTGTTTGTGCCTGCTTAAAGACTTATACACAAAGAATCTTTAATGTTATGGTCTTTCACCTACTTTTAAATTACAGGGTGAGAAGTAAGACAATAGAAAGATGTTTTCTGATAAGTGTCTGTTAAGTTTAAAAACACAACTGTACAACTGAAACAATAAATGTGAAAGAGTTTTGAGTCCTTTTGCAGTGTAACATTTAACAGCAGTCATTTTTTTGCTGTGGAAGAAAGGTAAGAATGCTTTAATGAACTGCTGCTGTAGGCCATTTCAGACAATGAATTGGTTAATTCAGTTGGTGTGAGTTTTAACTCAAGCTGTTTTTCACAGAACAAATTTAATTTAGTTTTATTTCATTTTAGCATCTATCATTTACGTAGTGACATAGTTTGTGAACTGAATTATCTTGTTTTACTTCAGTTGTTTTATAATTATTTGCTTAACAATTTCAATATAACTTCTGTTCCTCGCAGGTAAAACAATGGTAAATGAACAAAGGAGGCTCATGTCTGCCTTTAGCTTTCAGAAGTTACCACCAATTTTAAACTATTTGCTTATGTTAATTATTTCTTTTTTTTTTTAGGACTAATCCATTTTCTAGGCTTAGAGAGCTTTCTTGGGTTTTGTTCAGCACTTTCTTTAAACCACTAACTAAATAACTTAACAGTAAGAAAGAATACATGTTACTGCATGCGACTTTTCCTTTCTTTTTAATTCTTAGTGCCATCAACAAGGGGGTTTTTGTTTATTTTTTTCAGACCTTTTTACTGAGTTGTATATAATTTTTTGAACTGTTCCTGGCCTTCCTCATGCTCTCCTTATGTCTTGGTTAAACTGTGACACTATTTTGCAGAAAGAATACGGCCGGCAAACCATGAGGACCTACATATGCTTTTGAGTATTACTGTGTGGAAGAGTTAGTGTTTATAAGTTGATCCTCTTAAGAAAATAGGGGAAGTGAGGAGCAAGAAAGAAGAGCTTCTTCTTTTTGGAAGAGGCTCTGAAGGGACAGTAAAAGTATCTGGAGGGAGTATGAGTGGATAGAAAAGGAAGAAAAAAGCTGGATTCCAGATGAAAGGACCTCTAAGTAGGGAAGGGGAGCTAAGCAACATCAAGAGGTTTCCCCTTTTTCCCTTTTCCTGATGCCTTGCCCTGTTACACCATGTGACTGTTTATACAGGTCTCACTTCCAAATATTGACCCCCACATATGACATATGCACACTTCTGTACTGTACTTTTATGTAATCCTGTTGTCCCCAAATTTCTACATAGCACTTAATTTGTCAGCTGCTTGTGCAGCTGACAAATGCATATTGTATGTTGCACAAAGGGCAGAGATGTTTGAAGTCTGGGGAAAAGGAGATATTGACTGAAACAGTGGTGGTGGCTAGGAACCAACTTTGTCCTTGCTGTCATACCACCACTTTGTGGATTCTGCCTATTTTTTTACCTGCTTTCTGGTACACTGAGAGTTCAGTATGTCTTTTTGCTGCAATGTGTTCCTAAAGGGACATTCAACTCATAATACTCTTTTTGAAATGTGGAGAGAACTGAAGAGGTAACACTGTCTATTGAGCTAGTTTGAACTATTCCTTGTCTGATGATTACTGAAGTGCTAACGAGTGGAGACAAGAGCTTTCTACTTGCTAATTCCTCAGGGCACAAATAGAGCTCAGTTCTCCACATATTCCCCCATATATGAAGATCTTCTATGTGAAGGCCTTCCTCTGCCCGTACAACTCTGCTTGCAAAGCTGTCTTTGTCATGGTTCATGGTTCATCCAAGCCCTCATTTGACTCCAGCTTTTCTTCATATCTGTTGTAACTCATCCTATCTGCGGTGAGGTAACAAGAGAACTTTTAAAGATGTAAGTGAACAACAAGGTTTCTTGCCATACTTCATCTACAGTGGTACGTAACTACTGGATTTTAGCACTTGCCTCATTTAGTCTGGTGAATCTTAGAATATGGCAAGAGAAATCGATGATTTAAGCCAACAGGGAAAAAAAGTCCAGATTATTAAAAGGTGTTTGTGAAGTGTAATCATTTTACTGACTACATTTTGTTTAGAAAAACCCAAAGAATTTGTAATTTATGTGTGATGTAGGAAACTTGTGTATTGTATGGATACTGTTTAGTTTCATTAAATAATTCTTCTGTTATTTAGACTGCAGTAAATTCCTCATGATATGTCAGATTCCCTGGCACATCCATGAATACATGCACATGCTTCATGCATACACATGAGAGACAGAGCTACAGCATGAGATCTTAACTTCTGCAAAGCCTCTAAACAAAGCTTCTGCCTCAGCTCCTCGGTGGGAGAAACCAAAGAGGCAGCACTGGTACCAGCCCCACGTACACTGCAGTGTGGCAGAAGGTCAGGTCTAAACGAAGTTTCATTATGGTGGTTGAAGCCCAGAGGTCACTGTAGAAGTCATAGGACATACACACTCTGTCTGTGAGGAGCAAACATATCAAACAAGCAAATGTCTGAACGGGCTTGAGATCTGCAATGTTTTTGGCATTAAGTGTACCTCTTGTCTGACAGATGCAGACAGGCAAGATTCGATCAATCTCTTTCTGGGAGTATTCAAGCCTACAGAAGGAAAACCTCATCTCTGGGAACTTCCCACTGATTTTTATTTGCATCACAAGAACACCCTCAGTCTGTCACAAACCAGGCGAAGGTATTGTGCTGTTCTGTTTTTTTGTTTGGTATTGCTCTGATAAATTCAAAAAATACGTGCTGTTAACCAAATAATTTGGTCAGCCTGTTTTTTTTGTTTTGGGTTTTTTTTTAAGTTTTAACAAAAACTTTAAAAAATAACCTTCTAGAGTTTACAAAAAATGTTGGATGTTGGAGTTTTGAAGGATTTGTTTTAGTATGTTATTTTCCTGTACTGAAAAAAAGACGTGAAATTCTAGCTTGCAGTGTAAAATGCTTCACTATTTTACTGAAGTACAGCTACCACTGTCTCATTAAGCACTATGCAGGTGTATTTTTGATGGCCAGATTTATTAAGTCAGTGTTGTATTTAAGATTAGGTGATGGGAGTAACATTTGTTTACTTTTTCTGTGTAGTGCACTTAGTCTGCAGCTCTGCATACCAAGAAACCCATTACTTCCTACCTTCCTTTCAGCCCTGTCTAGCCTATTTTGAAGACTTTTCCTTCATTTGCATTCCATTGTAGTTGCACGGTAATACACAAAAATAATAGAACTAAAGCATAAAAATTTGAAAGCAATTGTAGAGTGCTTCGCAATGTGGAATGATTGTGCTAAGGATTTTAAATACTGTGTGTAAAAATAAATAAATAAATAATTCTATTTTAATAATAAGGATAGTACTAGTCTTGTTAAGTAAATTCACTCTCTTAGGAATTTCACTATTTGCATCTTTGTTCATTCTGTGGATCTTAAAGCTCTGTATGACAAGTGGTAGATCTGAATATCTGCATTTAGATTTTTGCCTGGGGGAAAATGCAAGTGTTTAAACAGTGTGTTCAGTCCCTGTTGGCTGGTTATTCCATTAACCCATCATGGCAGCTGGCATGTGATATGACTGTTTCTAGATTTCAGTCCTTTTATATTGTCTGCTGAGGCTTCTCTTGATGCTGGCTCATATCAGCTGCACAGCCAAGTGCTAGTTCAGGCACACATGAAACATGCAACATTAATTTTATTGTCTACTGGTTCCAAACATTATTGTATGTCAAAAATGAATTCAGCTGATATATTACAAATATAAAAATGTCTTGGCCTCCCTTTCATCTGTTACCATGTTAAACAGCTGTCTCTTATTTGTCACAGATACTGTTCTCAAATGAGATGGAAATTTTTAAAAAATTTCTTGCTGTTCTTCATTTACTCGTTACTTTTACCTTTCATTCTGGCCAGAATTTCTTCTGAGCACTTACAATATACAACCAAAATGTTTTCTCATGTGAACAAAATTACACCTTCATGTAATAAGTAGTTTGGTAAAAAAAAAACACAACCTCTTCCACGTAATTTTTTGTTTCTACCAAACTATTGGATGAGTTCTTCGTATAACTTCCTCCTGCCTCTCTCTGCAGTGCCTCTGCTGGATTCCTTGAGCACAGCAGCAAAGGAAATAATGAAATCAAGGATATGGGAAGTGAAGGAAGATGTTGTTTCCTGACATTGAAACTTCTTTTGACTATCAGTGCTTTTCCTATATTGTATTTGCCTCTCACAAAGATGATTAAGGGGCTGGAGCATCTTTCTTATGAGGAAAGACTGAGAGAGCTGGGTCTGTTTAGCCTGGAGAAAAGGAGACTGAGAGGGGACCTTATCAATGTTTATAAATATCTAAGGGATAGGTGTCAAGAGGATGGGGCCAGACTTTCCAGTGGTGGCCAGTGATAGAACAAGGGGCAATGGACACAAATTGGAACACAGGAGGCTCCACTTAAACATGAGGAAAAACAGCTTTACTGTGAGGGTGAGGGAGCACTGGAACAGACTGTCCAGAGAGGTTGTGGAGTCTCCTTCTCTGGAGGTACTCAAAACCCACCTGGATACAGTCCTGTGTAACTTGCTTTAGGTGAACCTGCTTTGGCAGGGGGGTTGGACTGGGTGATCTCCAGAGGTCCCTTCCAACCCCTACCATTCTGTATACTTTTATATAATTTGTGATTCACATGAAAGAACAGTGAATATGGGAAAAGAAGACTTTCTGTTGCTACATTATTTATCATTTATGCAAGCAGAAAAACTGGGTGTGTCTGCATAGTTTATGCAGGCACTGGAGAAAATTACTTGCTAGCGTGGCCTGATACAGTGCTTCAAGAAGAGACGTGACCATCAGGCATAACTCATTCCCTAGGGGACACAGTTCTTGGAACTGAAGTGCCTGTTCTGCACCGTTTGCTAAGTCCCATGAACTGGTCTATCTCTGGGCATGGGAATACACCCATTGTTTCTGCTCCAGATAGCTTCATTGGTATGAGTAGGAGATAAATGCATTAATACTCTCATTACAGCCCTTACAGTACTGTGAATATACACAGATTTGAAATAAAAATCAATGAATTATGCCAATTAATGAAATAGAAGGAAATATCAGAATAATTTAGAGAAGAAATTAAAGTGTATTTGAGAAGAGAAAATAAAAATAGGTAAACATAAATGAAAGATAAAGCATGCTTTATTTTATGAATGTTGCTTGATTTCCTTTCCTGAATAAGCTTCCAGCAGGGCCTGATTTTTGCTGTTAGCTATGTCAACGTGCAGCTCTTGGGACACCTGTCACATCAAAATGTATTTCTATGTGTAGAAGTCAGCTAGTCAGCTGCTTTGACAATGATCTGGTTTTATTATCATTGACCTTCAGTTCTTCATACCCTTTTCCTAAATTTTAGGATCTGAATAACAAGTAACGGGTGGGGGTTGATGGTTGATGTTTTGTTTGTTTATGGCTTGTTTGGTTTGTTGGGGTTTTTTTTGGTTTTGTTTGTTTGATAGGTTGTTTTGGGGTTTTTTATGATCAGAACAAGATAAATACATAAATACCTTCTCTATAGACTAAGACCTTAATTTTCAGTTCTGTATACGTAGGTACTTGAATTGTATTTTGTTTAATGGAACAAAACAAATCCTTCCTCCATACCTGTATTGAGCTTCATATGTTCAAATTTCATGGCCTGAGAGCAAAGTAGTAGAGTAGGGGCCTGTTGAAATCCTACATCCGTGGTTAATTTTTGACTTTCTTCCACACTTAAATGATAAAGAAATATTTACTAAAGTGACACTGTATGATTGGGTAACTGTTACGTGCAAATGTTTAGACTGGATACGAGATCAAATCTTCTGTATCAATTGTGTGTCTGTTTTTCCTGTACAGCTATACTTACTGGTGGACCACAGGTGTGCTAAAGCATTTACCTCTTCCTTTTGACGAAGGTAGGAACTGTATTTGCTCCTTGCCTTACAGAGGATCTTGAAAAAGAAGTTTTAGTCACAAGTACTCTTTAACTGGTTTAGATCCCAAATCTGGGGTGGGGGGGGGAAGTTTCTATGATGATGGGAAAATACTCCCCCCCAATTCCCCTCCATAAGCTATGATTTTTCAACAGCAAGATGCAAGAGATACCTAATTGGATAAAACCTGACCTCCATATGTTTATGTGCCAGGGCACACTTTTCCCTCCCCTCCTCCCTTACTTATTAACACATATAGTCTATGCTGGTGCTTACATTCCTGTTGTAGAAGACAGTGTGTGGTTAGCGTGTCTTATTTCTCTGGGATACTATGGAGAATGTTTTATTAGGAATTATCATGAAGGGAGATCAAATTATGGTGGTTGATAATGCATATTTATTAAAGATGTGCTGTGCATCATCTCCATATCATATTTTCTTGTCTTAGAGGACATATGACTGTAGAAAAATGCCCAGTAAGGTGACTAGGTAAGCAGGATAGTGCCTGTTTAGATTTTTGCAGACTCACTAATTGTTAGTAAAAAGATTTTTTTTTTTCTTTTCCCCAGTGACATGTGCTGAAAACAGACACAAGTTGACAGTGAAGAAATTCCACAAGTACGATGAGGAAATTGATATCCACAATGAGTTTTTCCGGCCTTACGAGTTGAGCAGTTTTGATGAGACCTTCTGCTTAGCAATGACCAATTCTACACGGTATATTGGGATGGTTTGGGGACTATAAATCCTTAAATGGGAGTTGATTTGGAGTGAATTAAATGTCGGCAGCAATCATCTGGATATTCTAAGCATAATCTTAATCATGCTTTAGCTGAAGATTTCCAGGCAGATTATGCTTCTTGTAGCTTTTTGACCCAATTTGAGTGTTGGCAAGTTTTGAAAACAATGTAGCTGATTTACCCAGCTTCTTCAGCACAGGAATGGAGTGCTCTACCCTCCTTGTCAAGTGATTATGATTGCAGCTGTTTTATGGGACTAAATAATGCAATTGAAAACTTTTTTAATACCTAGGGGGTTTGTATTTACATGACTTTTAACTTGTAATGATGAAGTTAGAACTTGATTATTTCTTTTTATAATGATTTTTTTTTTTTTTAGTACAAGGGTAGATATTAGAGGTGATTCTTTTAGAAAGTTTAAAAATTTTATGCATGGAGCTTTGCTCATGAACAGTTTTTCCTTTCTATTTTTCCAGAGATTTTATGCCTAAGAATGTGGGGATTGATCCAAGTCCATTTACTGTTCGTAAACCTGATGAAACTGGAAAATCAGTGTTGGGGTAAGTCTGAAATATGAAATTTTGTTCTACTTTAATATTACTGAAATTGTAATGCAAATATATAAACTCTATGTGTGTGTCTGTGTAGGCTATTCTCTGTTACATAGGAAATAAAAACTAATTGTTGTTATACTGTAGAATTGTATGCCTTGAAAATCATATCTAATTTTTATTTGACACTGGGAATTCTTTATTCAGACTTTTCTGTTTTCTTCTCTTCTAAGTGAAACCTATGAGAAAGTTTTATCTAGAATAAAGATGTAGAGGCTGTTAAAATTTGATCATCTCTTCAATGATCTTCTTCATAATGGAGATGACAGGAATTCATTTATTATTGTTGTCATTTAAAAAAATAATAAATTTTTAATAAATAGAACATATCCTGGAACAGCAATAAATGCCAATTTGAGCATAGTTTTTGATAAAAAAAATGTTATTGAAAATATGTGTAGATAGAATTATATAAAACAATTCAGGAACAGTTATTGGGACAAATGAATGTTTCATTTAGCTGCTTTTGTCTCCTGGACTTGCTTTGTTGCTTTATTTATTCCACTGTTGTGTTGGATCCGCTGTATCGCACAAGGGCTGTGGGGACTCTTCCTGAACCACTTCTCTCTTAGATACCTCATATGAAGGAAACCTTTTATCAGTAATGACTAAACCTGTGCTGTCACAACATTACAAGTTCTTCTGAAAACTTGCCATTCTATTAAAAGCTACAAAATTTGACTGTCTCATAAATAACATCCGTTGTGCCTTGTCAATGAGGAACTCACTGTCAGTAATTGTTGAGAGCAGACTACGCTGATCACTGATGGAATCTGATTTCATGCGACTGATGTTCCCTGGGAATAAGCAGAAAGACTGTTTAACATTTAGACAATTTATCTCTGCTAAGAATTGTGAGTTTATGGGTACTTCTGAGGATAAACTTTATTTTTCTTCTTTGGTATAATGTCAGATTTTGGACTAAATAATTTCTGTCCACGTATTCCATTAAGTCCTTGACCATTATACATTTTTCTCAGGCGCTTTGCTTCAAGCTCTTCACTGTTACTTACAGGGATTGTTATAAGATAGAGAATCATCTGCATCAAAGCTGTTTCCCAGGACTCCCTGGGTGTTGCTCATAAGGCTTCCCATGCATTGGCTGTTTAGTGGGGTAACAGGTGGCTTCAGTCTTCCATCTTACCCATATTTAGCCCTTGGTAGAGGTGATATCTTTGCCTTGCACATTGTCATCATCTCTTGATCTACTGTGACATTTCTGGAGGATTTGGTGATCTGTTTTCATCTGTAAGTGTTCTGGTCCTCTACGACAATTAGATCTTGGCTGCCTTCTGAATATGTGTTCAGGGTGAGAATAGCACTCTTACCAGTGTTTGACTACTCGCTCCATTCTCCAGCTTTCAGAAGGGATTGCTTTTCTTGTGACCTTTACCACGTTTAGAAAAGTAGGGAAGGTAACCTTAATTTTCTCTAAAAAGAATGTAGTGTGTCTTCATAACTTTCTGTAAATTTCAGTCTAAGGACATGTCACTTTCTGCTGTGTCAGAAATTAGATGTACCTGTGTTGGTTTTTCCCCTAAGGCATTTTTTCTAGCTGTAAGAATTATTCTGATATATTAATGTCCTTGGGGATGGGATACGCAGTCTTGGGGTTTTCTTAGCATGCTGCTGTCTTCCTTTAGGGCAAGTCACGCACAATGTCAGTGTATATATGGACAGTCACCTCAACAAGGAGATGTTGCTCTTCCCTATTTCCAGAACTGATTTGTCTATAAACATATTCATTACCTGCCTTCTAGTTCCTCTTCCTCCAGAGTCACTGAAAGGCTGTGACAGTGTCTGAGAGGAAACTGCAACCACATACCCTTCTATGGCCAGTGGGAAGAGTGTAGGGCTTGTAGGGGTGGTACAATTTCTGATGGCTGAAGTAACATGTACCTTTCAGAGCCTGTACAGTTAAACCCACTGCTAGCCTACAAAAATATAGATGCTGTATCTTGAAGAATTCTTACAAATAAAACAGCTTTTTATATTGAATAGAATTTCTAGAGTGAGGAATACATGCCACACAAAGAAATGTTGCTGATTAAAGAACTAAGTTGAGGGGAGAGGTATGGAAAAGAAAGGGAAAAAAAGCGACATGATTTAGGATTTTTGAACCTAGTAATAAGGAAGTGCAGTGGATAATATTGTTAATCAGAAAGTGAAACTTTTTCCCAGATCTAAACCAAAGATGATATGACTCAATGAATTTTTATTCCTTTTTATTTATTTAGTCTGAGGGAGGGATTTAGTAAAAAGTCAGAGAATTGGTGGAGAAAAGCTGGCATAATCCTGTGAGCTCTCTTTAAATGTTCTGGAATAAGAAGAGATTGATGAAAAGTAAATCAATTGAAGGATTAAAAAGATGAGCAATAAGTTGTTACAGAGCATAAAACTTATTTCCCCCAGTAAGACTGTAATAAAAACCAGAAATTTAAAATATTATTGTTAATATCTTGCTGATTTCTTAAATACACACTGCCTTTCCTAATAGGAACAAAAGTAATAGAGAAGAAACTGTGCTGCAGCGCAAAACAGCTGCCAGTGCTCCACCACCCCCAAGTGAGGAAGCGGTGTCAAGTAGTTCTGAAGATGATTCTGGGACAGACAAAGAAGATGAAGGTGCTGTTTCTCAACGTTCAACTCCAGTAAAGGTGACTGATACAGGAGATAATACAAAAATCACAGAGGTAAGAAGGCTTATCGTGAACTTAAAATTCACATTTCTTTAAAACAATCAGTAAAATATTATAGAACAGTCAGAGGTCAAGTGCTGAGAAATTAAGTGAAAAGGGTCTCCAGTGTATTTTCTTTCATAGATATTGGCAAACTGGTTATAAAACTTAACTATTATTCTTGTTGTGCAATAGTGAAACACAATGGAAAATAACATTTTCAAAAAATTAAAAGTACTGTTGGAAACTTATGTCATTTGAAAGGTACTCAGGTCAGGTATAGTCTGTAATATTAAGCATAAAACATATCTACGTTAGTGTGTTAATTCAGAGCAGTAGTGCACTACTGATCATCATCCCTTACCGTGCTCTGGCTTGCATCACAAAATGGTCTTGCAGCATGCAAATGGGATTCCTTTTGGGTGAAACTAAACTGGGAGATGCTTCTTCAGGAATGTGCCTGATCTTCCTACCTAATCAATATTTAGTCCGTGGGAGCTAATCTGGAGCAACCCCCCTGGAAGACGTGTAGAATGGATCCGAGGTCTTGAGCACCACATCTTTCAATTACAAATCTGTTCCTTTTAAGTGATGCCAATTACTCAGGCGGATATAACTACGGAATAATGTTCAATCTGGCTAAATTTCAACCTGATTTATGTCAAGATTTTTAACTTGCTGGTTCATAATTATGTGGTCTGACATTTCAAAAAAATTGAAATTAAATTAACTCCAAAATGTGCATGATAATTTTGTCACATTGGTCCTATGCTACTTTTGCTGCTACTAAGGTTGAAGATAACAGCAGGACAATAGTGAGATCATGTATGCACAGTCATATGAAAAGAATATGTATTCTCAGTTTTAGTCTATTAATCTTTTTTTGCTAGCATAACTCCCATTCTGTTTGAAACCCTTGGGTGCTAGTTTAATGAAAATATTAAATTGTACAAAGTATTATGGAAATACCTATTTTATTAATTCATGTACCATTTCTTCAAATGCTTTCTTGTAGATACCCATTTTGGGTACCACTGAAAATGTCTTAGCAAAAAGATATGCTAATGGAGATTACACAAATTTGTAAAATACTTATGTTGTTTTGGGTTGTTTGTTTTTTTTCTTTTGGGGGGTTTTTTAAGTCACAGCTATTATTTAAATGGTTATAGTATGCTTGTACACATTATCATTTTTGAAGAAACTTCAGTGTTTATTACCTTAGTCAGTATAAAATTTAGTGCCTGATAGGCAACAGAGAATAAAACTGCCTCGTTTTCTGATACAATTCAAATTTTCATTCCATTCAGTTTTTAGCCTAAGGTTGTGTGTTCTCAGATAATGGATTTTCAGCCTTCTGTACAACACTGTTTTGTTCCTAATCTTAATGAAACATTTTAAATAAAATAACTATGAAGTTGTGTGGTATTAATTTTGGACAATTTGGATTAATTGTTATGCAATACAAGTGCATTTATTTCTGTTTATGTAAGATATTTTATCTGAAAATTATCTGTTATCTCTGAAGAACAGAATACATGTTTTCAAGCAAGACTGGTTGTTTCTAGAGGGTTTTTTAACAACAGAAACCCAACCTGAAATTTTATTCTTAATTCTTACCATTGCACAAGTTACCTCACTTCAGTTTTTCCATCTGTGTATTGAACACACTTCAACATTCAGACCTAAGATATCTTTTTTAGATTTTTAAGATGCTTAAATGAAAGATGCATGTAAGCACCAAATATGATTTAAGATAGTATTGAATTTTAATGGCTTACAATTGGGTGAGCTATTCTGATTCTTTTAGTAATGCACATGAAGAAATATTTGCCATTTTATTAGCACCTGTTTATGAATTTTAGTCATAATTTGCATTTTTAATTTGTGACATTGCTTATTAAAATTACAGCACTGAAAAGCACCTATTCAGTTTTGCTGAATTGCTATGTTAGCAATCAACTTGGGTTATTGTTAATGTCTGCTAGCCATTGTAAACTTGTTTATTCTCTTCAGAAGTACAAAGCTTCTCTTAGATACATTATTTTTGAGGGCATGATATTTATGGAAACTATGTTCAGAAACCAAACATAAAAATTAGTAATCTTAAAGACTGTGTTAGACACTAGATTTTAACATTTTCACAAGCTGATCTTTATTTAGCTTGTGAAGCATTGTTTTTACATTGCCAGTCTAAGTAGAGCATCAAATATAGGCTTTTCAATAAATGTTTTGGAATTATTTTTCTGGCAGTGGCAATTATTTGTTGTCTCTACACATATAGTTAAAAAGTTTAAAAAGAAGACCTATAATGGAGAATTTCAAAACTTGATGAGTAAACTGAATAATGTAACAAGAAACAAAAAAACTATGACTGGAAAAGGTGATAATTTATCTAGTTGATTAAATAAGCATCTGTTTTCTAGAACTGGTAAACCACAGAAATGCTTCAGATATTTTTTTTTTTTCCTTTGTCAAGTTAAGCTTAACAAAAAACGAACTTTACTGAAGAATGCACTTAAAAGCCTAAGCTTACAAATAATCCATTTTATGTCTCTGTTAGCTAAAATGACAACTTACTAGCATTCTCACCAGTATCAGTCTGCCCTTTACTGTTTTCTCATTTGTGAAAATTGATTGTGTGTAGTATTGTTCAAAAATACTAGAAGTTTGGGTGAAAAACAGTAGTGTGGTGCATTTTTGTGTGTTAACGTTAATATTTGTAAGCTTGTATTTTTAGGCGCATTCTTGAGTAAATATGGTTATTCCAGAATGATTGGATGTTTGGTGGAAAATTTGAATTTTGGTATATTTTACAATTTTTCTCTACTCTACAGCTGCTGACGTATCATTATTGAGGGAGGACACACACTGACCCAAACAGCTAGTTCCTTTCTTTTCACATCTCACAAAAGTTAGTAATAAAATGCTTCTATACTTCCAGTCAGGACATATTTTTCCAAGGCTGTTATTTTACTTTGGATCTTTTTGAACTAACAGAAAGCTATTTTTATAGTTGACTTACTTGCAGTTACACGCACCTTGTCAGTAAAGCCCTTCAGTTTTCCATTAAACCATGAGACATAGGTAGTGAACTCTTGCATGTGCATAGGCTCCTTGTTATAGTTGACTGACGTGATTGTGTAACGTATGAAATAAAAATAATTTTTTTCAACCTGAAGTTTGTAATTATTTCAGAATTGACAGCAGGAAATGTGAAAGCAAATGTGGGAGCGTGTTCTGAATGAATATAATTTATTCTATGTTAAATTTCAACACAGAACAGAATTTAATACCTACCTCATTATATGTCCCATAAATACAGTTTATTCTCCTAATAGGTTGTTTTATCTGATGTTATCTTTCAAGAATCCTTTCCTTGTTGAACAAATGGCTTTAAGAATATTTTTAATAAATTATTTTTATTTAAAAAAAACCAAAACACCAAAACATGCACAAGCTAAGATTACTGTGTGTATGATAAACTTGTTTGGTTTTGCCTGCACCTCTGAAATTATTTTCAGATTTAGAAAAAATTCCTTGCTTGAAAGCAAACTTTTCTTTGGATGTTGTTACTGTTTCCTCAGTCTGAATCTTTCTTCTTATGTTCCAGAATGTAGTGCAATCAACAAAAGATGTGTATGGAGTCAATCTTTCAGATGTTCCTTCGGAAGATGATCTCACAATATACGCTAGGTGAGATAAATTTCCAGTGCTGATCAGTAAAAGATAATTGGAGCTAGCTAAATACAGCTTGTCTAAGTGCTGCCTTTGATTAAACTTATTTAAGTTACAAATCTTAGAGATATTTGGATATATGTAGTCTTCTGTTTTTAAAATCAAACTGTTTTCAGATGTCTTTGTCAACTCTGATTTCAGTGGAAGTTATGCAGATGTCTCTGAATGCAAAATTTGGAACTTAAGTCGAATGAAAGATGATTCAATAGAAATATCTGGCACTTAATATAGTCCTAGAAATTAATATGCAGATCCCCTATTAGGAGTGGTTCCATGATTCTACGCTATGTAGTCTGTGATATTCTGCATTTTTCAAATGTTGAATTATGCTAATTCAAATCAGTGATAAGTGAAAAAGCCTCTTTATAAAAATGTATACAAAACCACAGCAGTTGTCTTTTTTTAACATGTCTTATTCATAGAGATTTGTTAACTGTTACCTTTTACTCAAATTTAAAGTTATGTGAATTTTGATGTTCAACGAGAATTTTCCTGAATAATATTCAGCCTTTTTCTTGAAACATCTTGCCCTTTTGAGCTTGAAATAAAAAATGGTGGGTTTTACAGGGAGACCTTGAGACCCTTACTAAATCTGGTATAGACTATGAGGAGAAAGATTGAGAAAAGCGGTCAGAATAGCTCACACTGTAGAAGCATGGATATCCAAGTCACATATGTATGTGCTGTAAGTTTCAGGAGAGGGAGACGTCAGCTTGGCCCTTGCCATTATCAGAGTTTCATGAAATAATAACCTGCAAATATTTGTGGTATGTGGGTTTGCATGCATGCATATATATATATATATGCACAGCACTAACCATAATGTGTAACAATGTGCTCTTACACACTGCGTTTTGAGCAGCATCATGCTGCCACTTGTTCTTAGTAAATGGTTTTGTGAATTCAAATCATACATACAGGAAATGAGTAAGATACAGCACGGTGAAAGACAAAATACATCTCCTCAGGTGGTTCAGCCAGTTCCCACTCAGTTTCTACACTTTGAGGTAAACTGCTACAATGTGGGGCAGTGTGCTGCACAGCATCTGCAGGCTCTCCTCAGGAGCTTGGAGCTGCTGGCTTACTGTGAGCAGCTGGAGGTAAGAGTTGATGGGCAAGCATCAAGGTATCACCTCCCAGCTCCAACTACACAAAAACTTCTGCTTTTATTCAAGGATCACTTGGACTTTATCCTGTACAAGACAGTTGTCACCACTCTTACAGGAGCCCTGAACTGCCAGCTCCCCAAGAGCAATCAGCAAATTAATAGTATGCTTCTCCCGTGAAAGGCAGTGACTCCATTGTATCAGGAATGTTCTTTCTAAATTGTCATAACTCCATATAAAGCACTGTCTGTGCATTGCCATTGTTTAAAAAATGTGTACTTACACTATTGTTCTCAAATTCTCTCCTCAATATCACAGATTAACACTGGAGCCAAAAAGAAACCAGTTCAAATTTTCTTTTTGTCTTAAATCAGAAATTAATTTGAACCTTTTGAAATTTTGTTGATTTAAACCAAAACTGAACTAGAATAATTTCAGTTATAGATTAACTAGAACTGAACTGAAAATTTACTTAGGTCCCTGGTGGTGGAGATTGTTTCCTAAACTGCAACCTTTTTCTTTAAAAACTAGTCAGAATAATGGAATTCAGTACTGAAGATCAGTTGAAGAAATTTAGATCCAAATTGAAGACCCTCTTAATTCCTAAAGCCTTATAATGCTGTTGCCAAGACAGCAATTGCTAATGCAAGACACCAGGATTGCAAATCAGTTATATTAGCTTAATAAACCAATGTTTCAAACACCTGCTTAGAATGTAGAATTGATGGAGTTTGAGAAGAGGGGTGTAAGAAAACTATACATCATCTCAGAAAAACCCTTGTGTGTATATTGAAGTGAATACTTGTGAGGCATGCATTGAAATGGGCTTGTGTGCATGTGTTTTTATTTCTAGTATGTAATAGCAGTGATTACCTTGTTATGTTTGAAACCTCTTCAATTTGTGATGGAACTTTGAATTCACTACGATATCTTCTCATTTGATAATATGTGATGATTAATCCTGACTTAGTTCATTGATCCTCTCAAAGCATTATTTTTTTTCTTTTTATTTAAAAGGTGTTTTTTCCATTAATTGATCCTCTCAAAGCATTATTTTTTTTCTTTAAAAGGTGTTTTTTCCATTATTTTTTCTTTAGGAGTAGCTACTTCTCTTGCACTCTTTAGTTCTTTGAAATTCTCATTTCTACCTGTTTCCTACATGCTGAGTAATTTGAGGATGGTACACTTGAAAAGGGTGGAAGAGGATGTTTCTCATTATTTCTGAAGTGTTTAACTTCACCTATACCTCTAACCTTGGTTCTTTATTTTAAACACTGGAAAATGGATGCCAATTTGACTAGTACCTTTTGGTATACCAGACAGTTGTTGTTCTGGAAACGGCCCAGTGTGAGCTGATGCCCACTACAAGTCATTTTGTGCAGATGAGCAACTCTGTAATAACGTCCAGAATTAGAGCTGGCCAATTTGACTAGTACCTTTTGGTATACCAGGCAGTTGTTCTGGAAACGGCCCAGTGTAAGCTGATGCCCACTACAAGTAATTTTGTGCAGATGAGCAACTCTGTGATAACGTCCAGAATTAGAGCTACTTCCCATTTTATCATTTCTTAGGCTGCACTAAGATTCAGTCTGTTGTTACAGTAGCACTGTAAACTCCATGAGGCCTTTGAAGCTCCCTATTCGTATCCTTGACAAGACAAAAAAAAGCTTGCATTCATTTCATTTCCCTCAAGCAATGCAGGTTTTAAAAATAGAGCGATTACAAATTCCTTACCTCTTTCAGCTAACAAGACATAGTGCTATTTATGGTCTGATGTGCTGATTTATGTGGAAAGTATAGGTTTTACTGACATCCTTTATTATAATATACATAGTTTGAGAATAGCAGCAATTTATTTCACAGTATGACTACAGTTCTCACTTCAACAGTTTTCTATTATTGTAATAAGGGACAATGGAGATGTAAGATCCTGACTGTACTTGACATTGTTGGACATGTTATGTATTTTTTTTCTTTATTAGCATCAGGGACTCACAGATTTAACGTACCTCAGGTTAAATTACCTTACATCAACTGATCTATATTAAGTCTATATGCAAATACAAATAAAAAGTAATTTGAATCTGTTCAGCCCATTTGCACTGATGGCCAAGATAAGTTGTGTTAATTCTCATCAATAGAAATCACAGAAGCACAGATCAGTTGATTTTGGAAGGGACAGGAGGCCCCTCAAATAATTTGAGAACATACACTGCAGATCAGCTGGGCATGGTATCCTATTGATGTCTGGTAACTTGCTTGTGTTAATTTAGGCCTTGTTTGTTTGAGAATATTAGACAATTTGAAGCAATTAATGAAAATATTTATGTCTTTAGTTTGCCTTTTTTTTTTTTAAGCTTGTTTCAGTAGTAAGCTGTGGCACTAGATCTTAATTACCTTTATTTCCACTTGTAATTCTCTTATTTAAAAATGTAAGTGTTTATTCCTTCAACATCCAAAGTGATGTTGCATGTTTCTGTGGCTTTTGTTTCTACAGTATAGAATCTGAATGGAGCAGAAAGAAAAACCACAATAAGTTGTTTAGGAATGTATTGCTCATTTGTCTTCTGTAAACTCTTCCATGCAATTACTTTTGCAGTGTTAATTGTCCCTTCTTAAAATGTAGTAAATACTTCTGAAATAGACCAATAAGACTATTTTTGAGCTAAATGGAATCTAACTATTAAGAAAAATCCTCCACCTCAGAAAATAAAAGTATTAAATCACAACTAACATTTACTTCTATTTTCAGTAGCACAGATGTGTTGGAGAGTGAACAAATTGAGTTTGAGTGCAAGATTGCTACATGTACACATATTTGAATCCCTCTGACTTTTCCTGTTTGAGTGAATAAGATTAGTGATTAACTATTTTTTTTTTTTTAATTTTACTCCAAGTCATTGCCAAGAAAAAAAGACATAAAAGTATTTTCCATCTTCAGTGGCTTCCAGCAAATATTTGGAGATGGGGAAATTCTCCCAAAAGGTTGTGCTTGTAAATAAGTGATCTGGACTAACAACATTTCAGCAAAATAAACTAGATTGTATTTGGCTGAGGACTGACTTAAATCTGAAACTAGAGAGACCTTCTATCTCTTCTGCTGATTTTTCCCATGGGCTATTCATCTGACTGCTTTGAAAAGACACAGGAAGTTGACTGCAGCGGGCTGCCTGTTTCGTAGGAGCCTCTTTCTATCCTGTGACATATGAGGTGACACCAATTAATAGGCAAATCTGTTTCAAGCTAAAAGGAGCTGCTGAGTTCTCACATGCACCCACTGTAAAGTTTTAAAAATCCCTCTTGTTTACAAGAGAGGTAGATCATGATCAATGACTTTATAACATGACTTAAAGACTCATTTTTTTGGTGTCATTTTCTTTTATTTGCTGAGTTTTTGGAGGATAGTTCTTTTATTTCTTTGATTTATTCTCCTGTTTACTCCTTTTTGTAGGTTTGTTCAGCTGGGACAGAGTCAGTATAAGCAAGACAAGAGCAGCCAGCAATTTTGCTCAAAACACCACTTGGATAGGGTTATAAATTTGTAAGTATTCTTTTTCTTTTTTCCTTTAGCTTGTTTTTGCTTTTGTCATTAGACCTGAAAAATCATCCGGTAAATTTGCTTTTAAATTGTTTGAGTCATCCTTCTGTTGCTTTTACTGCATAAGGGGATTCAATACATAGCATGATAAAACTGGGTTCCTACTTCTCCCTTATAACTTAAAAAAAAAAAGGTGTTTATTTTGTGGTTTGTGTTTTGATTAGGATTTTTAGTGAATTTTTTTAGGGTGTTTTGTTGTTTGGTGGTTTTTTTGCTTGTTTGGTTTTGGTTTGTGATAAAACACTAACTTCGTAGAGATCAAATAGCATGAACATACTATACTCAAGATTAAGATGAGAGGTTTTCAGTAACAGCAGCTGAGACACATCTTGCACTTGTTGGACTGTACATTTCCTTGTTTCTCAAGGAGCACTTGAAGAAACTGAAAACTTATAGTAGCTTTTATTATTTTGATATCAGGTGCATTTTGAATTGAAAAAAGTATGGCAAATCTCCAGTAGTTCCTTCTAGATACAAATGCTATTAAGCCCCAGTCCTTTTCATAGTAAAATAAAGTACTCCGTCTAAGACTTTGCTTTCTCATCAGCAGTGAGATATCATTTAGGCTTAGATTAGTTGCCATCATTTCCACATTTTTCAATAAAATCTTTTTTTTTATATATCCTTTTTTGATCCTAAAAAAACCCCAGAACCTCACAACCTTAAACATTTTGGCCATTTTTATCAAATACATAAAGCCAGAACAAAAATAAATATTTCTTGTTTTTACAATGTCACTTCAGTGATATTTGTGAACTCAAATATGCATTGTAGAAATATTGAAGATAAACTTCGGGCTTAAATTTAGAAACTGTAAGTATAGATTAGAAGCAAAAAATGGATGCCTGAACAGGGACTACAGTGATGCAGTGAAATAACACTGAAGAGGAGTGGAGAATGTGGAAGGATAATAAAGTTCCTTATTTTGTTCATAGAAATTCTGTGAAGTAAAAAAGGGTAGAATTTTAGTTGCAGCTAAATAGAGCTAAACAGAGCTCTATTTGTACTTTTAGCACAATCTATTGAAGAGAGGCTTTGCATACTGTAGTATAATTACTCTTGGCTGACAAAATGCACCTGTTCCTAGTTCCCTAGTACTCATTGTGGTGTGGTATAAATAATACTGTTGAAAAATATGCTCTCAATCACTTTCCAAATGTGCTACTTACATTTATCTAGGAGTATGAGAAATTTGATTCCCTCCTCAACAAGGAATTGAGTGTTTTGATTCACTGCAGCACTTTGGAGAAGAGTGTGGAAATGCTTTAACGCTCTTACAGTGAAGAGTAGCTGGTTGCATACATCGGAGTACAAGCTACATTCAGTGCCTGTATCCATTGTAGCTTATGAAACAGAGCAAGAATGCTTGTGCACCAACTGTAATTCATCCATAGGTATCCACTTTCCTGTTCGGTTTTGTGGGTCACTGATGATGCTCAAGCAGGAGAACACTTTAGTGAGTGAGATCTGCAGCATGGTCCAGGGCTGTGGTGTTCTCCTTCAATATTTGGAAAACATACCCTGTCTTCAAAGATATATTGTACAGTCCATGTTTTCCGAAGTTCCCTTGATGTTAAATGTGTCTTTTATTTTATTTTTAATCAAGACTGCCTAGATGCTGCTTGTCATGATCAAACCTGACTCAAATTGAGTAGTAACTATCTACAAGTTAGCAGCTCACTGTATACAAGTAGTATATGGGCTTTTTTTAACTGTTTGTTTCTGTGTATATGCACGTTATATACGTTATTTTCTCACCGAGATAAAAGTAATGAAACAAATTTCAGTGAACAATGGAGCACCTTATATTTTCCATTTTTAAAAAATTAAATGCTAAAGTGGAGTATTTTTAATCTATAACACCACTTTAAAACATAAAACTAAAAATAGAGCAGTACATTTTCTAATTTGAATTAAGTGTTTTACAACCCTAGTTACTTTTGAAAACTGTTACCTCAGTTAATAGCAATTCTCTTGTTCATTCAGTACTTCCAAATTACTTTATTAGTGTAAGGTCTATTTCTTGGAGGATTAAATAAAAAATAGCTCTGTATTTCTGAACATGGCATTATCACTGCCATTATCTCATTACCCTTACAACTGTAGTAAAGAAAAGATTGGTATTGAAGTTGTCATCTTTCTGTGTATTCATATCCTAGGGGTTCTTGGGGGCTTCCTTATGTTGAAAGGCAGAAATAAATTAATAAAGGATGGTTTAGAGTGTTAAGTATATTTATTTTTTACATTAAACCCATGCAAAATATCTAAATAGTTTATTGACACTGCTTTGGAAACAGTGAGTCAAAAGGTGTAATACGGGCAACTTTGGAAATTACAAATTATATTGGATTGTCAAGTGTGTTGATAGTTTCACAGTACAGTGCTTTTTTGAGTGCTCTCTGTTTCGAATATGCACCCCAATATGTTGCTGCACATCAGAAGGTTAGATAAACTTCAATGAAAATGTTTATTCACAAAACAGGGAATTGTTATGAATATTCATGGAATTATATGTGGAAAAAATTGTTTATATTCTGTCATCTGTTTACACTAAGCTTAAATCACAGAGGTGTCTTATCTAGTTGCTGTCTTCTCCTGATAAGGTGACAGTCAGGCTTCCCTTTTTTAAAAAAAAAACAAACAAAAAAATACATATTCTGCACTTCAGTAGAGCACCTTCTTCCTAGACAGAGCAGCATCTAGTCTCCAGCAATTTTTTTTATTTTTTTTATCCTTAGTCTACCCTTTGAAATCTCCCAGATACAGTGTTTTTACCTACAACTCATTTTATTTCTTCCTTTTCTTAGAAACAGGGTAGCTATGCTTCTTAATTATAACAAGCACTGCTTCAGTTCCTTGAAGATGTAAATACCTGTGTTAAATTGCGAGTCATCTATCTTCCCTCCTTAACTAAAAACTCTTTGCCTCTGTGATGGATGAAATTCTTTCCTGTTTGGTGATTATTTGGATTCATTTTACTTTGAGATGTCCTATACTGAATCTCATATTCTTTAACAGCTGCATATTCGTAAGCAGATATGATCTAAACCTCTGTATACCTCTATATGAAAGTATATAACTCACTACTAGCTCTTGATTCAGAGCAGAGATTAGAATAATTAACCACTCTGAGTTAATTGATACAATGTAGATGTGTTACAATAACTTTAATTTCTCTTATTCTTTTGGCTCACATATATCCACTGTTCTGGTACTCTAAAAATAGCTTTGAGGATTAGTCTTCCTCACTTAATTTAAAAATTTCCTCTTTCTGACTCTCAGTATTTTAAACAAAGCACTTCTGTGATTCTCCAGTATTTATTGCCTGTGAGAATTCTCTTCAAATCTACTGGCCAGGCTGTTTATAAATTACCTGGGTTTTGTTGTCTGTCTGAAGATGAAAGATTGCTCTTCATTGGGATTCTGAACGGCTTTAACACTGTCTACGTGCTTGTCTCTTGCAAAATGGCTTGACTAAGTGGGCTGTAATCGCGAGTATCTTCATTTTATATTCTGGGGAAGTGGTTTTAAAGTCACTGTGGGCACTTTCCCTGAAAGTACTTCGTCCTGGAAGTACTTAATGTTGGCTAGAGAAGACAAAAGAGTGACCACATAAAAGGAATCATTTTGTCATTTTGGGCTTGAATATTCTATTTGTTTTTAGTCACACATCTCAAAAAGAATACTACTGGGAAGGGTCTGAGTAAAAGCAGTAGTATGATCAGAGTTGTAGGACTCTCCAGAAAAAAGCTGACTGAAGACTGAAGGAAATACGTAAGTCCGTGTTGTGATGGTTTGTGAAATGCTCTACTGAAGTTTGACAGGTGAAATGGTTGGTATTATGGTTTAAGTTGCAACATGACTTGATTTGGTGGGAGAAGTTAAGAAAATAGCTGAGCCAATTCTAACATCTC